CATTCGGATTGTCGTCGCAAAGTTCAACATATTGATCCAGTAAGCGCTGCATACTTTGTGGCAAACCCAGGGTTGCAGGGCGTTCTTACAGCTTTCAAGTGCTACCGTGAGCACGTGTCCGGCAAGGTTTCGCGGAAGGCGGCCTTTGAGGGGCGTGCCCTTGCACCTTTGGAGAGCACGCGCGGCTGATGTGGAGAGAAAAACGTGCAGCTGCTGAAGCCACGCAGTGCCACAAGACCCAGGATGAGGAAGAGCGAGCGCTTTTGGGAGCTGTGCCTGGAGGCTTTCAGCTGACGTTCAGCTGCTACAGGCCCATGGGGGGGGGGGGGAAATCTTGGGCCTACAAGTGATGATGAGTCCTTGCAAGAGCTTGCCTGGTCCCTCGCAGAATCGGACTGGCCTGCATGAAGAACAGGAAGCGTGATTACGGTAACAGCTAAGGAGCTATTGATATAGGGGTCAACCCCGCCTTGCTTGCATTTTGGTTCGCCGCACGCAGTCAGATTGACCTTTTGCAGTCTGGTTTAAAGCGACTTTCTTTTTGTGACCATTGCCTGCGGGTGAAGTGCCCTGAACAAATCAAGTTCTTCAGAGGATCGATCTCGCGATCGAGTTCAGCAGCCGACCTCCCGCCCGCTGACTGGGGGCCCCGGCGTCACAGTTCCACCCTGAGGGAGGCCATAGGGGTCCGCATTCATCCGATCAAAACCGGTCCGCTCGCAGGCGCGATCTGCCAGAGAAGGGGACAGGGGGGGGTGGGGGCTTTCCTTGGGATGGGGGCCAAAGCTTCTGGCACCGTTGCCGGGAAGCGCTGGTGTTCTGGCTGTCACTTGCTGGCTCTTGCTCGCCCTCCCTCTCTCGCAAAATTGGTTGCCCAAGGCGTTCGCTTGAGCCATCGAGCCGGACCATGTGCCGAGCTACTTGTGCGCAGCTTAGCTTCTGGCCCCCCCCCCCGCCCAATGGGAAGGAAGCCAGCGGCTTGGTTGCAACCGAAACACAAGCAAATGGGTGTGGGTCAAAAATAGGCACCCAAAATGGAACCCGAACAAAGGGAAAGAAGGACTAGAACCTTCCGTTTTTCTGGGTCCCGATCCCAGGGTTGAACACCGGATTCCCTCGAATGGAAGCGTCTCAGTTCACAACCAAACACCTCTCCTGAACTGCCGCGAGTCTGCGTATGGGAGCCCGAGAATTGGGGGCCCCAACCCGAAACAGGCGGCTGTTGGATGGCCAATGTGGCCGCCTGGTCGCCCTTCACCTCAAGTCAAACAACAGGCCACCCCACTTTGGCCACTTTTTCGGGTAAGGGCCTTTCTGGGATTATTTTTGTGTGGCGTCTGCCCCTCTACTTTGCCACTACCTCCTTTGGGTTTGTTGAGGTTCTTGGCCGCAAGACTCACTTCTCCAAGTCCCCATGGAATCCCTCCCCTCCCCCCCAACCCCCCCCCCCGCTTTTGAGCGCGCAGGGCTGCGCATGGCGCTCACAGGCGCCGCCGGATCACGGCGTTCCCCGCGTCCGCGAAATCGCTCGACCGCTTCCGGGGCGCCAGGAGGCTCCGCGCGAAGGCGCAGAACTTGCCGCTCCTCGGGGCGAAAAGCGAAAAGCGAGGTGCTCGGCGCACGGAAATTCGGCAGTGGGTCAAAACCAATGGTATCCCATTTTGGTTGGTAGGTGACTTCACCCATTTTAGAACCTATTTAAGGGGGATTGAGATGTTCACTGAGGGTACGGGATTTTGACCCATATGCATGGCCATTTGTCGGTCAACAAATGTACCCCACGGACGATTTTCGGAACTGCAGAAAAACCACGAAGGAGGAAACTTTCCTCTTGGAAAGGGGGGGTTGGTGCACTTCAATGTTGATGGGAGGGTACCCAAAAAGAACTGCGCCTGACAAAAAAGAGGCTTGCCTGGAGCCAGTGCTTTGTGTCTCAAGTTGCGGGCTTCTGTGGTTCACAAATGGGCGAGTCTGAACAAAGAAAAGGGCCACAGAAAGTGGTCCTTTTTTCAAAACAAGACACGCAGAACAGCCTAACATCCGGTCTCGTTGAACCATTGATTCAGCGCATATCTCATAAGTATGGGCAACCAGTGACCTCAAAAGCATGCTGTGAAAGGGCAAGGTGGGGCACGCCCTACCGAAAGACACGTTCCATGAAATGGGGTTGTCTCCAAGCGAAATTGATGTTTTGCTTCCCGTGGTTTCCTATGAAACCAATACCCAAATGTATCAGAGGCCCCCCACCCCCCCACCCCCCACCCCACAGGCGATGCATCCCGCAACAATAGAATGATTGGACACTGCCCCCACCCGCAGTCCCTTGTGCTCTCGCTAAGACCTTGCTTAAGCAAGTGCACATCTTTGTCGGCTGTTCCTGGGGCCGAGTCACGTGTCCCGGGTGTCGCCGTGCGGGTTGAACTGAGCAGGGGGCGAGAAGCACGGAAAAACCAAACCCCCCGTTGCCACAGCACCTCACAGAGGGTCCCGACTGAGAGGAAACTGATCTTCACCCTAGGTGCTCTGTCTGTGGAAGAAAGGGTGCCATATCAGCTGATATCAATGCTTGCTCCGCGTTTAGCTGGCAACGACTCCGGGGAAATGAGGTCGTTTGACAGTTCTTGGGCGGTGGCGAAGTATACCTCCTGCTATCCTGTTTGCTCGCTGCCCAAATCCGAGATCATTTGCGCTGCCTGCTAAGGAAGTTGGCCTCCCAGAGAACCACAACCAGCTGGCAATGGAAGCTCCACGGCACACCAATGGAAATATGGAAACCTGGCTCCTTAAACATCTCCAATTCACTCAACTTGCTGACCGGCGCCGGAGAATCCCCATCCAAGTGTTCCGATTCTCTCTTTTCAGCCACAAAAGTAAGCCAGCAACACTTGGGTTCTCCAAGTCAGATGTGAAAGCCCCGAAACAGCGCCAAAAAAATCACCGTCATTTGTTTCATCTGGCTGAACACCGGGATGCTCAAAACTGATGACCAGGATGCTCAAAATGTAGGAACATGTCACAAGCAGAAACCTCTGCAACGAGAAAGCGTGCTGTTCTGCAATGGGACTTCTTGGTCTTGGATATTCACTACCAAAGCAAAAAGCTGGCTATCATACTTTCTACCCCTCTGCCTTTATTTGAAGCTCTTCTTTCTTTTCTCCGACCCCCCCCCCCTTTCCTTCTTTTCCCAAAACGGGGAAATCCACCTACTCAATCTCTCCTTCACGGAAAAAAAATCCTCAGACCAAAACCCCAAACCCCAAGCCCCCCCCCCCCCCACACCCCAAAACAAACCCGAAAATCGGAAAACCCTCAGACCCTGAACCCCCTTCACCCCCCGAAAACCCCCAAGCCTTTCCTTCCCTCCCCCCCAAACCCCCAAACCCCCAAACCCCCAAACCCCCAAACCCCCAAACCCCCCCAAACCCCCCCAAACTCCCCCTCTCCATCGGCGATGCGGTCACCGCCGGATGCCGCCTCCAGGAGCACCCGCTGCTGCAGATGCTGCGCCAGGCTCTGCAGCAGATGCACCGCCTCACCGTCCAGCGCCCAGCGCTGGACGAAGGCCTCTCGCGACTCGAGGCGACGGGAGGCGACCGGGGTCGGGGGGGGGGGCCATGAAGGTCTCACCGTGGCGCACGAAATGGACATTTGGGGTGGATGTTGGGGAAGGCGGAAAAATTGTGGATGGTCCGTGTTCTTCTTGGGATTCGAAGAAGAACTAGAAGTGGCATTCTAGGGCGCCGATTCCCATTTTGAGAAACCCACGTTTGGGTGTGTGTGGCTTGTTTGAGGGACCCGTGTTAGACTTGGCAGTTGGGGCCAGCAACGTTGCAGCTTCAACGGCATCAACTTTGCATCACTGCTGCAACTTAGATGGTTGACCATGAAGGTGGCTACGTCAAGCTAAGAACTGGGATGGTGAACCATCAACGTTGCCTCAAGGTTCACACGTGGACGATACCATCAACGCAGCAAGTTGGATGCCCCCCCTCCAATTGCAACTTTGATGAAACCATCAATGTGCATCACCGTTGCAACTTCAACCCACCATCAACATGCATCGCGTGGCAACTTCGATCGTTTGGGCTTCGTGGGTGTTCCCCGTTCAACCCACGACAAAAATACCTCCAAAAAATACGAGGGATAGTAAGGGCCGCCATCTAGGATTTGGGTTGGAAGCCCTTCCCTTCTTAGGGGCTTTGACCATCTCCGAGAAATCGCCCGCTCTCTTCCGAACACACAGATCTGTGTCTCTGGTTTGGGATCCCCAGAAAGCCCATGGATTGCGGCTTTCGTGTCATTGTCAAACCTCGGGAATCGTGACTCTGTTTGCAGATGAACACTGTGAACACTCGTGTGGACCCATGGGGCTACGATTCATACCCACGCGGTTGCAAAGTCCAACTGGATGCAGAGCAGACACCCAACCAACAGCTGCTAACTGTACAATGTTGTCCCGCGAAGAAGTGGACGCGCGCTGAAAAAAAGAAAGAAAAAAACCTACAGCTCCGGTGGATGTTGGGAACCATGTTCACGGAAAGCCACGTGTTTGGGGGGTAAGGGGGGGGGGGAGGGTGAGGGGGTGGGGGGAGGGGGGTCCTTCAAAACAATCAAACCTGGCAAGTTTGGACCCAGACATCCAAAACCCTCTGCAGTCCTTCCTACCCCCGCGCTGCCATCGCTCATCGCTTGCACCGTGTTTTTTCAGATGAGGTGAAACATGCTGCACGTCCTTGTATGTACACATTGACACATGCCAAGGCCAGAATGTTGGCTCTGACTGCGTCCATGCGGGGCTTATTTTTTCCAGTTTTCATTCATAACTTTAATATAGGGGATCCTGTTCTTGTGACCCCCAACCTGTTTTCGTTCCGGTTGGTTGACCCCAAGATCAAAAACCTTGGACACAACACAGGTTGTTTTTCCCTCTTGTCCGTAGGTCGTTTCTTATTCTCTTTTCCCTTGTCGCGTTTAAACAGGTTGGGGGCGGACCCCCCATTTTAGAGCAGCAGATAGAAGCCGCTGAAGACCAGCAAGGTGAAGACCGCGATGGCCAGGCACAAGCTCCCCGCCCCGGTGGCGTGGAAGACCTTGAGCACCGGCTCCCAGACCTCGTTGTCGGAGATGTCCATGAACGAGACCTCAAAGGCGCACCAAGCTGCACCCATGTTTTTCCTTCCCGTAGGGGAAACCTAAGATGTCAGATCCCCAACCAGAGGCTTGCCTGATCAGCTGTTCTTGCAAAACGGACGGGTCAAGAAAAAACAAACACCACGAAAGGGAAAAGACATATAACTTCCTAGATTCATAAACCAAAGCTTTAAAAAAAAAAAAAGGTTTCCTGATTGTGTTTCTTAAAATTCCCCCCCCCCCCCGCAAAAAAAAGAGCAAAAAACAACGCCAGTCTGGCCAGAGCCACGATCTGCTCCTTCAGCATCCGCTCGGAGCGCCGGCCTTTGGCGAAGCCTCGAGCGCGACGCCGGGCCCTCCGCGGCCGTGCCTCCGCCTCGCTCTCCGAGGCGCTCTCCTCAGATCGCCTCTCCTCCGGCGAGTTGCCCCAGGTTGCCCCTCTTGGCCATTGGGGCTGTTGAACGAGGCAAGGTCTAAACTGGGCTGCATTCAGATCCCCCGCTACAAGTTTAGCTTTTAGTGGGTTAAATGGAAACTACCACTAAACACTAAAAAGCTACAAGGCCAAGAGGATGGCTGGGAGCCACCAAGTAAAGTGGTTCACTTGGAACTTAAGCCAGTTTTGGACTTGAACCACTTTGAACAACTTGAAAAAAGCTCTTTGAGAATTGTGGAAACATGTTGCCTTGGACCACTTTGAAGCGAGTTTTGGGGTAAAAAAGAACAGCGCCGCACGGGAAACGACTCGAGGGATCTCGAAACCCTCGCCTCAGCCTCCGGCTCTGACGCAACGTCCATCTCCTCGGGCGGCGGCTCCTGCTCCTGTGCGGATGACGTGGCAACCGCGGCAACATGCGAAGCCCGTGTGAAAACATGCGAAGCGTGGCACCCAACCAAAGACCTTCACGTGCTTTTCACGGATGGAGCGGAAAAAGACAGAAACACACCATGAAATTCACCCAAAAAAAAGCGCGGAACTCATGGAGCTCGAGCCTGCGGCGCCTCTTTGGGCTCGTGGATCTCGCTGCAGGTGCTGATCTCGCTGGGGCTGGCCTCTGCCCGCTCACCCTGGGAAAGGGGCGAGGCCAAAGGCGCCAAAGGCGCCAAAGGCGACGGCGACGGCGACGGCGGCGTGAGCGACGGCGCCTGGCGCACGCGGAGGTACAGCTCCAGCGTGGCCAAGGCGTCGCTGCCGGCGGTGTGGGCAGGGCCCAGGCGCTCGAGGCCAAAAGCTCCGAGCAGGGCATCCAGGGAGCCCCGGGGCAGCACATCACGCAGCTCGTGGCGGACGGGGCACAGCGCCGCCAGCAGCTCGTCGAAGGAGGCGACGTCGTAGGGCAGTGGCCGGCCGATGAGGAGCTTCAGCAAGTAGCCCCAGTCATACCAACCGGAGAAGGTCACCCATTCGGGGCCCTCCCCGACCAGGGGCGAGCCCCCTAACCTCCACGCCAAGGCCGCAGGATCGATGCCCTCCACGGCGTGCCGAGGGAAATCCACCCCGGCGGCGTGCAGGAATCGGATGCTCTCCTCTGAGTATAAATTCGTCGCCAGGTCAAAAGACAGATTAAAGGTCCACGCGCCCAAGAAGCCTCCGTGCTCGTCGGCCACTGCGAGACCAAATTGGATCGGCCAGAGAAAGTCCACGTTCTCCCGCAAGGCCATGTATCGCGCATTCCGGTCCGCGAAAGGATAATCCTTGTGGAGGAAACCCGGGAACTCGGTGTCCAGCGCTACCATGACAGGCCCTTTCCTTCATTCAAACCGATTCAAACATGTTCTCCCTGTTTCTGACAAAAGAACTTCAGATGTTACCAACCGAACCCGTCCCTTCTTCCTCCATTGAACAAGTGAGCCGTCCAAATGCTTGGACCAAGAACAAGTTCATATGAGAGTCAGGAGGGACAGCAGACCATCCCACTCCAAATTGAAATTCCAGGACCACACGTCATGCAGCAGGCGCCCGCATGGTTGCCACACGGCCTGGTCCGAGCGGGACAGGTGCGTCCGCCACCGGCGCTTCCAGCTGAATTCCCAGCGGCTCCGCCAGTCCTGCACCTATCAATCCCCGTCAACAGAAGGGTTGACACAAAATTAACGAGAGAAAGGGATGACAAGAAGTGGCCATTCATCTCTCTTATTCTTGTTCCACATCCGAAAGTAATTTGTAGATGACCGAAGGAATGAGTGGGATAGCATGTGGTGAACAAGATCTGGAGAATGACAATCAGGTAAAGAATGATTGGACAAAAAAACACTGGTTTTAATGCTGGTGTGAACCCCAAGCCAAAAGGAAACCAGCGACATGGAAATGGTGGTTTTCCTGGTGTTCTCCTTTGAAACCACCAAACAAGGGGTACCCTCAAAAAAAGATACACCCATTTGGGGGAATCAAAACTTGGGGTTTCTTTGCTTTTGATTCCAATCCAACTCAAAGCAACCGCAAATTGACAAACCTCAAATTTCCGAAAGTTATCCGGGTCTCCAGGGACCCCCCCCCATTTTGCTTCTCCCCGGCCTCCCTTCGGGCCCAATCACGCGACCAGACTCGAATCGGGCGCCGGAACTCTTCCTGCCACATGGCCTTCTCCCCACCGAACCCGCCGCCAAAAGCCTACGAGTAATCCATGCTGCCCTCACCTGGTCCCCCTGGAACCAAGAGGCTGCGGTTCAGTCGCGAGGAATGCAGGAATGCTGTTTCAAGGTAACCCGGCTCTGGGGGGGCTTTCCAGAGGCAGGACTGCCATGCTTTGCAGAATGCCTGTTTTGATGCTCAAGAGGTGTGCCAAATGGCTTACAGAAGTGGAAACAGATACATTCTGCGCAAATTGCTGTGATTCACATACTGGAAATCAGGAAGAGGCTTTGATCATGGGCGAATTCAACTTTCCCTTTCCCTGGTACGCTCGTTATTTGTGCAAATGCATAAACGCGCACAAACACCCCAATCTGCCAGTCCCCAAGCACTGTGTCTCCCCGACGCTCCGGTTTCGCGTTGCAGAATGAAATCCGGAACTTGCAGGCACAATTCGATTGAGGGCGGGCCAAGTCTGCGGGTGCTCAGCACCCGCTTTAAGAGTACCGCCAATGGCGACCTTCACTTACACAACCTTTTTGAAAGTGAACAGAACCAACAAACAACAATGCAAAAAACTTGCTTGCCACGAACAGTAAAGTTCGGACATCCGGCATTCGATTAAGATCGATTCGTGGGCCACCAGCCACGGCAACTCATGAAACATGTTGTGCTCTTCAAAGAGTGGATCGGCACAGACTGCTTTGGGTCCGCTTCCTTCCCTCCCCCCCGGCTTTTTCTTGGGTTTACAGGGAAACCGAAAGAAAAACCGCGCCCTTTTAAAGGGTCCCCGACTTGACGCACAGCTCCGCTTCGGCCGACCTCCAGCTCCGCAGGCCCCGGGCCGACCGCGCCCACCGCGCCGACACCGAGCGATCCGGGCCTTGGGCGGCCCGGAGGGTCCCAAGATGCGTTGCGCGGGAGGGATCGACTTGCGCTTGTTGTACGTGAAGGTGTTTGCACATGCAGGTGGTTGTGTGGTTGTGTGGTGGTGTGGTGGTGTGGTGGTGTGGTGGTGTGGTGGTGTGGTGGTGTGGTTTTGCGTGGCTGTGTGGTTGTGTGGTTGTGTGGTTTTGCGTGTCTTCGTTTGAGGCTGATTGCGCTTTGGGGCGGTTTGCTCAGGGAAACCTATTTTGAGACAAACAAAGATAGAGCTCTTCAGCCAACTCGCCAAAGTAGGGTGAGTAGGGTGGGTCCTGTTCGACTCTCACGCATTAGTTCCAGGGAGCAGGGAAGCAACCGGCTTCAGGGGCAAGCAGAAAACAAAAACGCGACCATGGACCACGTGGAGGCATCAAACAGCTAGATTCGGCAGGAGAACCCTTTCTACCAATGAGGAAATGCTGGAATCCCTAGAACCTGAGCGCGCAACTTTAGCAAGCTGGGACTATCTGCTGGATTGAGCATGGGAAACACCTGGCGCTTCTGAATCCTTCTACAAGGATATGTTCGAACATGACTGTGCCCCACCCAGCTGAAACTGCGGGTGGAGAGGAAACCCAAGAGAAAGCCGAAGAGTGCACACGGTTCCACCAGCGAAGCCAATCAGGCAGCAAACGAAACCTAGTTGTCACACGCAAAGCCATGAACAAACATTCTTGGGTAGGCGATGATTCCCTTCACGGAAACCTTTACAGTGAGTGACTAAGCGTTTTGCCCAACGTACAGTTCCAAAAAAAAACTATTTGGGAGCGCCGACCAGCCCTTCCCAAGAGCAACCTAGATCTCGCGGTAATCTCGAAGCGGAGAGACATGCACGATGCTGTGCTAAGCGCGCGTGTTTCCCCGGTCAAAATATTGGCGGTCTTGGCTTCAGCGTCTTTGTTCATTCCGTGGGTGTGCCCTTTAGGAGCCCCAAAATGGGTGTGGCTCAAAATTAAACAGGACGGGCTGCGCAGATGGTCCATGTTTCCACTTACCAGGGTTCCATTTTGGTACCGGTTTCTTGAGCCACAGCCAAATGAGTCTTTTGGTTTCCCTCAACCCCCGAAGGGCCAGAAGCCGAAGCCGCCGAAGCCCCCCCGGCCTCATAGCAAGGGAGCTCGGCTGCACCTGGCGCGCAACCATCGCACCGCCGAAATTCGCCCCACCCAGGCCCTTTCTCGCCCATCCGAGTACAGCCAGAGTTCTGGGTCTCACACGGTCAGTGTCTTTTCGGCCGATTCAAACCACATGCATTTTCTGGGTGTCCACTTTTTCAACCTAAAACAAACAATCTAAACGGAACATATGTTCCACAACCACCGCTGCAGGCCAATGGTTGTCCATGTCAAACCCCGACCCCGGCCTGGCGCACGGGGCGGCCTCTTGCCACAGACTGCGCAAAGCTGAGGAACTTCCCGGCCACCTCGGCAATGGAAAGTGGCGGATCCTCGTTTTGGGGTTGTTTTCTGGGCCGGCAATACTGTAACGCTTGAAATTCCGGCCATACTGTGGATGGACAAACTCCTGCACCACTTTGCAGCCATGGGAAACCTTTTGTTTGTTGGTATTGACCGGGGAATCGAATCATTCCTGGGCTGCCCTCAGATCCCCCGCAAGTGATCAACTTTTGGTGGGCTAAATGGAAATCCCCAAGGGGATGGCTGGGAGCCACCAAGTTGTAAGATGCTTTGTTTAATGGAGACTCTTCGTTTCGGTTTCTCGCACTGGATGTGTTTTTGTCGCCGAAATGGGGTTCCCCGTCCTACGAACTTTGATGCAAGGCGATGTGCCAGCGCCCGCTGAGCTGAGTTATTGAGTGCAAACCCATGCCGTGCTGGAGGGATCCTGGTCGCTGGAAATGGCACCGGCATTGACAAATATCGGGATCATTCACCCAGGGTCCAGGTTTTGCGACGGCCTACACAGTAAATCCTCAAATGCCCCGAACATGTTCCGATCTTGTCGATTCCCGGCCACGAGTTAGCCCTTGTTGTTGAGGCAAGAAATCGTGCACCGCTTTAGGTCATAAGCAATGTGCACCTTGCGCGGAAAGTCAACATTGGGTCCAATTGACGGAACTCCTGCACCACCTTCCAGATGTTTCGTCAACGGCGCTTCTTGAGGCTCACAAAACCCGGCGCAGGATTCCGCCATTTTCTGTGGTTGGTTGGGCAACCTTCCTGGGTCTTCCAAGTCTCGTATGGATCTCCTAGGCTCAAGCCCACGTTTTTGTCAAGCTCTCGGTTGGCTGTGGGTCAAAAATAGGTACCCAAAATGGAAACCCTGCGGTCCAATTCCTGGTGGTTTAATTTTGACCCATACCCAGTTCTCTAGCCGTTGGTTCGCATGCCGCGACACATTGCAGGGATTCGACGAACTTCTTCCCTTGGCCAACGGTAGCCATCGCTCCCTTTCCCATGCTGTTGCGTGAGCTCGACTTCTTGCGCTCCCCGAAATCTGAGCCAAATTGGATTTAAAACTAAAAAAATAAAAGCGGGTGATGACAGGTGACAACAACTGCGGGTTGGTGCGGCCTCTTTGCAGACTTGCTGGTTCCAATCCGTGCCATCATGTTTGCCCGAAGACTCAATTCCGGGCCAGGTTCTGCAATCCGTAAGTGAAAAGGTTGTGGTGTGATTGACTTCTGGCAGACACCTAGTGACAAACAACCGATTCTGCCACACAGTCAATAAGACTGGCACACCATTCTGGCATCAGGTGAGTCAATCAATACACATGTCTAACCACACAACACAAACACAAACTGAAGTCGGGTGGCTTGTCTTGAAAACAGATGGCACCGCTTTTGGCGTGTCATTTTTCGCCGCCCCAAAAAGAAACACGAAGCCCCGTCCCCGGTGTCCCCCGGTGTCCCCCGGTGTCCCCATCCGGGCGCCCCGGCGTCCACAGTGCCCGGGGCCGGCTGGAAGTCCCTCACAAGCCGCGCCTTCACCTCCGGGGTCAAGACCTGCAGCGCCTCCTGACGCATGGCCATGGGGCAAAACACAAATCGGTTAGCCCCCAGAGAACACCGATTCAATCCAACCACTCAAATAGGTCCCAAAATGTGTGGTCTCAAATAGGTCCTAAAATGGGTGATCTCAAGTGGGTCCTTTCGTGGGTGGTCTTGCTCTCAAATAGGTCCTAAAATGGGTGATCTCAAGTGGGTCCTTTCGTGGGTGGTCTTGGTCTCAAATAGGTCCTAAAATGGGTGATCTCAAATAGGTCCTAAAGTGGGTGGTCTTGGTCTCAAATAGGTCCTAAAATGGGTGATCTCAAATAGGTCCTAAAGTGGGTGGTCTCAAATAGGTCCTAAAATGGGTGTTCTCAAATAGGTCCTCTAATGGCAAATAGGTCCTATCATGTGTGGTCTCAACTGGGTGATCTCAAATAGGTCCTAAAATGGGTGATCTCACATAGGTCCTAAAATGGGTGGTCTCAAATAAGTTCTAACATGGGTGGTCTCAAATAGGTCCTAAAATGGGCGGCGAATTCACCTACCAACCAAAATGGGATTCCAAAACGGTGTTGACCCACGGCCACATCCTGACGCTCCGACGATCCGAAGCGTCGACCGCGTGGATCGCTCGCGGCGTTTTAAGGCGGCGGCGTTTTGGGCTTTGGGCTTTGGGTCGTGCCCCATGCCGTTCCCAGGCGCCTCTAAACAACAACAAAAAAGAAGCTCCATATTACATAATATTACATATATATACATATATATATATATATGTGTAGTCTCCAATAAGTTAAACAACAACAAAAAAGAAGCTCTATATTATATATATATATATATATATCTCAACGGGTAGCGTCCCGGTGGCCTTGGGCCGTTTTTGTAGTCGTGCTCGCGATGAAGTATCACTAGCGACAATGACCATGGCAGGAGCAGGAACGGTGGCGGCGATGGCAACGGCACATGGAGCAGCAGTGCTGATAGTGAACAAACTTGCTGCGGTGGGTTTACGGTAGTAGCAAAAGCTGCAAAAGCCATGGTAACAGAAATAGGGATGGTGGTGATAGTAGCAAAAGTAATAGTAACAGTAGTAGCAGCGAGAAGTAAGTCCATGGCATAATAGCAGGAACTAGTAGTACTGTTACAGCAAGGGCAACAGTGAGGTTATAGTCAAAGGAAGCTTGACAAGAACTTCCGTAGTACCGGAACTAATGATCTAGAGACTGGATATGCAAAAGCTATACTCAAGCGGATGCGTTTTGCCCTGGACTGTTCTTGCCCCTCTCAACAGGCCCTGCAGGCAGTGGCAAAAGCCCATCTTTGGCTGGTGCCTTGGAAGATCACATCGTTTTCTCTTTGGAAGATCCTTCTGCAAACACCACTTTCAGATTCCTTCCAATTGGCAGTTTAGATTGGTTTGGTGGCTAGGGGTGGAAACTCCCATTTGGGTATCGGTATGACTTTGTTTGAGGGTAACGCGAGCTGCACGAATGCTGCTTGAAAGTCGCAACTCTTCAGTACTAGAAGTACCATGTGGCACAAAACATCAAAGTACATCTCCGGGGCTCCAGCTCGAGCATTGCAACTGCCCCCCTACAAAGCAACACGGAACCCCAAAAAGGTTTTGGTGCATAGGGTATGCAACGGGGCAGCGAATGTCTGCCGCGAATCGCTGCCATTTACCCTCAACAAGAACCAGAGGTTGAAATCCCCATGCCAACAATCCAAATCACCAAGGGTCGCCCGACTCAACCAATGTCCCTTGGCACCTCCCCCCCCCCGGCGAATTCCTTGGCAAGCTCGTTGTCTGCCAGGCCCCACTTCTGCAGGAAAGCATGGTCTCCGAGCCCCAACTGGCCTGGAAAACGGACTCTGCCCGGTTCAAAAAAAAAAAAACAAGATCCCAAAACACTGGAATCTCATCAAGAGGCCGTCGGTGATACGCTTTCCGTTTATGTGTATGTCTCTCATTCTTGGGAAAACCCGCAAAAGGGGTGTTCCTTTTGGATTCCCTTTACCACTCCAAAACGGCCACCTGCCTCCAAAAGATCGGGACCCACACCGCGTCTTTGCCCCGCCTCGCAGGCCACCGAGACTCAACCCCAGCGCGGTGAGGCCGCCCAGGCCACCGAGGCCGAGGCCGAGGCCGCCGGGGAGGCCCAGGCCACCGCCGAGGCCAAGGCTCTCGTGGCTGAGACCCCCGAAGCCTGGACAAGGGGGACAGAGGGGGGATTCCCGGAAACCCCCGACCCATGAGGTCCATGTCAGGTGAAGTCAGGGCGCATGTTTGGAGCTCGGGCCAATGGTCTGGAGAAGGCATATGTGCACATCGGGTGGAATTTTAGCGGGCGCAAGTCGAGCCCACAAACAGTAGGGGTTCGAGACTTGGGAAGACGGCGGTCTTTCACCTTCTTGGAACGGTCATCACACTCCACCAATGTGGGGCCGAGGTCCCTAACTAGGCATTTGGGGGGTGAAAAGTATACCAAACACGATACCAACAAAGATACCAAAACTTGGCTACTGTTGACCCCTCTGCAAAATGTTTAACGTGCGGGTCCAGTTCGGAAGATCCACAAAGTTTCAACCTAAAAGTTAAGGTCCAAAGATCCAGCCGAATAGCCGTAGTTCATCTCAAAAGTCAAAATAGTCCAAAGATCCAAAGATCCAAAGATCCAAAAGCCAAGATCCACCTAAAGAAGCGGAAAAAACCATTTTGCGTTAAAAGGACGTCGCAAAGGATCAACTATGTCTCTCTATACTCCTTCTCAAACATGTTGAAACGATTTGGCCCCATGAGACACACCAATAAAACATGTTGGGGCTGACAAAGGATACCAAGAGGAACCCCCACCCCATTGGGTCCCTTTGTTCGCCCGGCCACCTTGGGCCTCCAGCACAGTGCCGGCGAAGGCCCGCAGCTTGCCCACCACGTTGCGGGTGCCCGCGCGCGGGCTGAACTCTGACAGCACCGTGCCTTAATTCTCAGCGGGCGCGGACTGAGTCGATGAACTTTCGGAGTTGGGGACCCTCCCTGATTTCAACCACAATGCCGTTGTTCGACCTCCAGTTGACCTCTTGGTTTATGGGTCCAAATAATGGGTGGGTAGGAAAATCAGGGTCCCCACTTTCAAAGTGGTTTGGGTCCGGGTGGTTAAATCAACCACTGGGCTCCAGATTCAACTTAGGGTTGAATTGTAGCTGTTTGGCGATTTCGGGATCAAAACAAAGTCCCACAACGAAAACTTTGTGGAAAAACATGTCGGAAACCGAAATCGCGTGAAAAGGCTGGCGGCTTTGGGTGTGTCTCAACCCCCCTCCCCCCCACACTCAGCTTCCCGCTCTGGGGTTTGGATTGGTGGTGTGGTCAGGATGGTTGGGCAATGGGTTCAAATCCAAACTCCAAGCCACCGGGCTCTCCAAACCGTAAACCCTGTTTGTCCGGCCGAGGAACTCAGCGGCCCCTCCGGCAGGGATTCCAGAAAGGCGCCGGCCTCCGCATCCAAACCCCACCTCGCCACAAAGTCCGCCACGGCGCGGGAGCCCCCAGCCTCACAGACCCCTTGGCTTCGGCGAACCTTCGGCGACAAAGAGCTCCCAAGATATTCCTCGGGCATGATCTCTGGTTATATGCTTGCGTTTGGAGGGCGCCAACTGAAAAGAGGACCCGCCTTTATCCCTCCGATTTGCGGGAAATCAGCCCGTGTCGCCTCTTCGGATCCGAAAATGGTAACCCTGCTTGGGGAGAACGTCTCATTGGCATGGAACTCAGTCAGGTTGCGACTTTTATTGGGGTTTTCCATTCAATCCATGTCCTCTTTGCAACCCGGCCCAGAGAATTCCTGTATTGATTCACGGAATATGAGCAGTCATCCCTTCCCACACCCCGCCCTTAACTTAACTCAGGCCCAGCCGCTGCCTGTGGCTCCTGAAATCTCTCCAGCACACCTGCCATCGGAATTTCATGGCTTCCCATCCCGGGTTTAGGACTCGGATCTCCCACATCGAACCAGCGACCCGAAACCCACGCATGTTGTACCAACCTTAGCCTGCCATTTGCTTAAGTTGTTCGGGAAAAAATACAAGGCTTCTTAGTAGTGATGGATTCCCTGGAAAGTCAACAGGGGAAATTATAAACAAATTTAAGCTAATGGAAGTAACGTAACATCCTGATCACAAGTCGAGGACGATATCATGTCAAGTTCCCTCCCCGCCTCGTGCGAAGGTCTGGAGCTTGCCGTCCTTGGCAACGCTCAAGCGATGGCTGTGCTCGCACCAATATGAGTTCTCGAATTTCTATCGGCCAAGAGGCGTCCTGTTGCATCCTTTCAGCCTATTCAGCCTACCAAAGGGGGGGTCCTTTTGTCACTCAAACTTGCAAAGCCAGGCGCCTCCCCCACCCCCACTGCCTCCTCCCCCGCCCCCCGCGACCGGGAGAGCGTTGAGTTGACTCAAAGGCTCCACGCTGGCAGTGCCCGGCGCGGGGCGGAACTCCGCCATCACAGTGTTCAGCACCTCCTCGTTTCTTCGGCTTTGCCACGGCTCCCACCGAAAAAAGGTGAACGATGGACAAAAATGACTTGGGAAGAGTGTGCGACTGTTGCCAAGCCAACGAGCAACCACATAAGACAAACGACAAAAGCTTGGTGAACACACTAAGGTGAGATAAAAATGAAACTAACAAGATGAGCAAAACATGGGGAAGGGGGGTCGTCCTATCTTCCCACACCGAAAATTGGCGGCTCCCTTTTTGGTTCCCCTTGAAATCACCCCAAAGAGTTTGGGCTACCTGGATCCCGCAGTTGCCCTTATTTCCCAGCTACTTTTGCCAAATTATGGGCTACTAGTGGGTGAAATGGCTGGAAAAAAGTGGCGACCCAAAAAAGAGACACACGCCCGATCCATCCTGGGGGAGGGCCGCCAGCACCTGCCTGGACCGCTCGTTCAGCTGCCACCGCGACGCGAAGGCGCCCAGCGGGGCCTCCGCGTGATGCTCCCTGCCGCCGGCGACAGACCTGCCCGCCGAAACGGAAAATCAACGTGGAGTCACCATACTTGGTTTACGTTGGAAGGGGAGCAAAAGTTTCTAAAGTTTAGCAGTTAAGTGGGTGGATTTCAACCACTAAGCCACAATAAGCAAAAATGAAAAATGTTTCCCAACAACAGCCATGCATAGGTGTCCTTTTGATCGGGCAGCTTGGTTCGAAATAGATGGGCTTCACTGGCTTAGATTGGTTTTCTGTCCTCCATTTGGGGAAAGCCATCTATTTCTCAAAAGGTCACCTGAAACGTGGAGGCACACATTTGTCTCTGTCCACGTGCCACGTGGAGTCCAGCAATGGAGTTCACTGAAAGAGGCATTTGACTGCCGGCGGGGACATGAAGCTGGTACCCTCTCTAAGGCAGTCTGAAGCAGGCGCCTAGCAAAGGAGCACAGGCGGCCGTTGACGTTCATGGTGTCTCCTTTGGGATCGAACTGCTCAATCACCTTCGTCCTAGGCGAGAGCCGAGAACTTGCCCCAACTGGCCGAATCCTTCACCTGGAAGAGGATTCTATCGGAGTCTAACAAAATGGCCATGGGTCAAAATCCAGTACCGAGTGAACATCCCAATCCCCACTAAAATAGGTTCTAAAATAGGTGGGCACCTACCCCAAAATGGGATCCCATTGGTTTTGACCCACATCCAGATGGCAAATGTCTGCGTGAGAATCCAAATGGATAGATTCCCTTCCTTCCACTTCCCGCAGGTCCAAAATTCGGCGAGCGGAATTCGACTGCCGCGGCTCTGGACTGGCGTCGGGAGGCTCTGGAGGTAGGCCAGGCTCTCTTCCACGCCCCAGCGCGACACAAAGTCCAGAAGCCTCCTGCAGCTTTTGGGGACGCGGTCGAGGAAACCAAAGGCTGCCCTTGGCTAACTTTGAGTGGGTTAGTTAAATAGAAACTACCACTAAACACTAAAAGGATCTAAAACGCTAAGGAACCGGATGGCTCGGGGCCACCAAGGAAATCAAACGCACCAGGGCGCTCTTTTGCGAAAGCTGGACGCCGCAAACGAAAGGCGGCCATCTTGTATTTTGATTGACCTGTTCGCACTGGCACAGTTCATCCAGCTTGCAAGTTGGCAACAAGGGAAACAGAAAGGGTCGTTGCAAGATTCAAGCACTCACCTGAGTCATGATCAAAACCCGGTGTTGAAATGGTCGACCCAGAACCATGCTTCAAGAAGCAAGAAGGCGGATATCCGCTATTTATGGCAAGGGGATTGTCCCTTACTAACCTTCATCAATCCCCGAATTGGTTTTGAGCACGTGACCAAGCGCAACCTGCGAGTCCGGTGACTTGGTCCTCCTATTGCCGGCGAACGCCGGGGCGCTAGCTGCCGCAGCTGCCGCAGAAGCACCGGCCCCACCTGCCGCAGGCAATGGCACTCGAACTCCTAGCCTTCTAAAGGGGGGTGGGCCAAGAATCAATCCACCTTGTTCAGCAATTTCAACCAAAGCGTCTACCTTTTTCAGAGATTTCAACCAAAGCTTCCACCTTATTCAGGAATTTCAACCAAAGCGTCTACCTTTTTCAGAGATTTCAACCAAAGCTTCCACCTTATTCAGAGATGTCAACCAAAGCGTCTACCTTCTTCAGAGATTTCAACCAAAGCTTCCACCTTTTTCAGGAATGTCAACCAAAGCGTCTACCTTTTTCACAGATTTCAACCAAAGCTTCCACCTTATTCAGGAATTTCAACCAAAGCGTCTACCTTTTTCAGAGATTTCAACCAAAGCTTCCACCTTATTCAGGAATTTCAACCAAAGCGTCTACCTTTTTCAGAGATTTCAACCAAAGCTTCCACCTTATTCAGGAATTTCAACCAAAGCGTCTACCTTTTTCAGAGATTTCAACAAAGCTTCCACCTTATTCAGGAATTTCAACCAAAGCGTCTACCTTTTTTCAACCAAAGCTTCCACCTTATTCAGGAATTTCAACCAAAGCGTCTACCTTTTTCAGAGACTTCAACCAAAGCTTCCACCTTATTCAGGAATTTCAACCAAAGCGTCTACCTTTTTCAGAGATTTCAACCAAAGCTTCCACCTTATTCAGGAATTGCAACCAAAGCGTCTACCTTTTTCAGAGATTTCAACCAAAGCTTCCACCTTATTCAGGAATTTCAACCAAAGCGTCTACCTTTTTCAGAGATTTCAACCAAAGCTTCCACCTTATTCAGGAATTTCAACCAACGCGTCTACCTTTTTCAGAGATTTCAACCAAAGCTTCCACCATATTCAGGAATTTCAACCAAAGCGTCTACCTTTTTCAGAGATTTCAACCAAAGCTTCCACCTTATTCAGGAATTTCAACCAAAGCGTCTACCTTTTTCAGAGATTTCAAGCAAAGCGTCTACCTTTTTCAGAGACTTCAACCAAAGCTTCCACCTTATTCAGGAATTTCAACCAAAGCGTCTACCTTTTCAGAGATTTCAACCAAAGCTTCCACCTTATTCAGGAATTTCAACCAAAGCGTCTACTTTTTCAGAGATTTCAACCAAAGCTTCCACCTTATTCAGGAAATTCAACCAAAGCGTCCACCTGTTTCAGACATTTAAACCAAAGCCTCCACCTTATTCAGGAATTTCAACCAAAGCGCCCACCTGTTTCAGACATTTAAACCAAAGCCTCCACCTTTTTCAGGAAGTTTCAACTCAAGCTTCCACCTTTTCCAGGAATTTCAACCAAAGCTTCCACCTTATTCAGGAATTTCAACCAAAGCGTCCACCTTATTCAGGAATTTCAAGCAAAGCGTCTACCTTCTTCAGAGATTTCAACCAAAGCTTCCACCTTATTCAGGAATTTCAACCAAAGCGTTTACCCCCCCCAGAGATTTCAACCAAAGCGTCCACCTTATTCAGGAATTTCAACCAAAGCGTCTACCTTTTTCAGAGATTTCAACCAAAGCTTCCACCTTATTCAGGAATTTCAACCAAAGCGTCTACCTTTTTCAGAGATTTCAACCAAAGCTTCCACCTTATTCAGGAATTTCAACCAAAGCGTCTACCTTTTTCAGAGATTTCAACCAAAGCTTCCACCTTATTCAGGAATTTCAACCAAAGCGTCTACCTTTTTCAGAGATTTCAACCAAAGCTTCCACCTTATTCAGGAATTTCAACCAAAGCGTCTACCTTTTTCAGAGATTTCAACCAAAGCTTCCACCTTATTCAGGAATTTCAACCAAAGCGTCTACCTTTTTCAGAGATTTCAACCAAAGCTTCCACCTTATTCAGGAATTTCAACCAAAGCGTCTACCTTTTTCAGAGATGTCAACCAAAGCTTCAGGAATGTCAACCAAAGCGTCTACCTTTTGCAGAGATTTCAACCAAAGCTTCCACCTTATTCAGGAATTTCAAGCAAAGCGTCTACCTTCTTCAGAGATTTCAACCAAAGCTTCCACCTTATTCAGGAATTTCAACCAAAGCGTCTACCTTTTTCAGAGATTTCAACCAAAGCTTCCACCTTATTCAGGAATTTCAACCAAAGCGTCTACCTTTTTCAGAGATTTCAACCAAAGCTTCCACCTTATTTCAGGAATTTCAACCAAAGCGTCTACCTTCTTCAACCAAAGACCTTTTTCAGATTACCTTCTTCAGAGATTTCAACCAAAGCTTCCACCTTATTCAGGAATTTCAACCAAAGCGTCTACCTTTTTCAGAGATTTCTGTCTACCTTTTTCAGAGATTTCAACCAAAGCTTCCACCTTATTCAGGAATTTCAACCAAAGCGTCTACCTTTTTCAGAGATTTCAACCAAAGCTTCCACCTTATTCAGGAATTTCAACCAAAGCGTCTACCTTTTTCAGACATTTCAACCAAAGCTTCCACCTTTTTGAGGAGTTTCAACTCGAGCTTCCACCTTTTTCAGGAATTTCAACCAAAGCGTCCACCTTTTGCAGAAAATTTCAACCAAAGCTTCCACCGTTTTCAGACATTTAAACCAACGCCTCCACCTTATTCAGGAAGTTTCAACTCAAGCTTCCACCTTTGTCAGCAGTTTCAACCAAAGCGTCTACTTTTTTCAGAGATTTCAACCAAAGCTTCCACCTTTTTCAACTCAAGCGTCCACCTGTTTCAGGAATTTCAACCAAAGCGTCCACCTTTTTCGGAGATTTCAACCAAAGCTTCCACCTTATTCAGGAGTTTCAACCAAAGCGTCTACCTGTTTCATTTCAACCAAAGCTTCCACCTTATTCAGGAATTTCAACCAAAGCGTCTACCTTTTTCAGCGATTTCAACCAAAGCTTCCACCTTATTCAGGAATTTCAACCAAAGCGTCTACCTTTTTCAGAGATTTCAACCAAAGCTTCCACCTTATTCAGGAATTTCAACCAAAGCGTCTACCTTTTGCAGGAAGTTTCAACCAAAGCTTCCACCTTATTCAGGAATTTCAACCCCAAAGCGTCTACCTTTTTCAGAGATTTCAACCAAGGCTTCCACCTTATTCAGGAATTTCAACCAAAGCGTCTACCTTTTTCAGAGACTTCAACCAAAGCTTCCACCTTATTCAGGAATTTCAACCAAAGCGTCTACCTTTTTCAACTCAAGCTTCCACCTTATTCAGGAATTTCAACCAAAGCGTCTACCTTTTTCAGAGATTTCAACCAAAGTTTCCACCTTTTTCAGAGATTTCAACCAAAGCGTCTACCTTTTTCAGAGATTTCAACCAAAGCTTCCACCTTATTCAGGAATTTCAACCAAAGCGTTTACCTTTTTCAGAGATTTCAACCAAAGCTTCCACCTTATTCAGGAATTTCAACCAAAGCGTCCACCTGTTTCAGACATTTAAACCAAAGCCTCCACCTTATTCAGGAATTTCAACCAAAGCGCCCACCTGTTTCAGACATTTAAACCAAAGCCTCCACCTTTTTCAGGAAGTTTCAACTCAAGCTTCCACCTTTTTAAGGAATTTCAAGCAAAGCGTCTACCTTCTTCAGAGATTTCAACCAAAGCTTCCACCTTATTCAGGAAATTCAACCCAAGCGTCCACCTTTTTCAGGAATTTCAACCAAAGCATCTACCTTTTTCAGAGATTTAATCCAAAGCTTCCACCTTATTCAGAGATTTAAACCAAAGCTTTCACCTTTTTCAGGAATTTTCAACTCAAGCTTCCACCTTTTTCAGGAATTTTAACCAAAGCTTCCACCTTTTTCAGGAATTTCAACCAAAGCGTCTACCTTTTTCAGAGATTTCAACCAAAGCGTCCACCTTATTCAGGAATTTCAACCAAAGCGTTTACCTTTTTCAGAGATTTCAACCAAAGCTTCCACCTTATTCAGGAATTTCAACCAAAGCGTCTACCTTTTTCCGAGATTTCAACCAAAGCTTCCACCTTATTCAGGAATTTTAACCAAAGCGTCTACCTTTTTCAGAGACTTCAACCAAATCTTCCACCTTATTCAGGAATTTCAACCAAAGCGTCTACCTTTTTCAGAGATTTCAACCAAAGCCTCCACCTTATTCAGGAATTTCAACCAAAGCGTCTACCTTTTTCAGAGATTTCAACCAAAGCCTCCACCTTTTTCAGAGATTTCAACCAAAGCGTCTACCTTTTTCAGAGATTTCAACCAAAGCGTCCACCTTATTCAGGAATTTCAACCAAAGCTTACCTTTTTCAGAGATTTCAACCAAAGCTTCCACCTTATTCAGGAATTTCAACCAAAGCGTCTACCTTTTTCCGAGATTTCAACCAAAGCGTCCACCTTATTCAGGAATTTCAACCAAAGCGTCTACCTTTTTCAGAGACTTCAACCAAAGCTTCCACCTTATTCAGGAATTTCAACCAAAGCGTCTACCTTCTTCAGAGATTTCAGCCAAAGCTTCCACCTTATTCAGGAATTTCAACCAAAGCGTCTACTTTTTCAGAGATTTCAACCAAAGCTTCCACCTTATTCAGGAAATGTCAACCAAAGCTTCCACCTTATTCAGGAATTTCAACCAAAGCGTCTACCTTTTTCAGAGATTTCAACCAAAGCTTCCACCTTATTCAGGAATTTCAACCAAAGCGTCTACCTTTTTCAGAGATTTCAACCAAAGCTTCCACCTTTTTCGGAGATTTCAACCAAAGCGTCTACCTTTTTCAGAGATTTCAACCAAAGCTTCCACCTTATTCAGGAATTTCAACCAAAGCGTTTACCTTTTTCAGAGATTTCAACCAAAGCTTCCACCTTATTCAGGAATTTCAACCAAAGCGTCTACCTTTTTCAGAGATTTCAACCAAAGCTTCCACCTTATTCAGGAATTTCAACCAAAGCGTTTACCCCCCCCAGAGATTTCAACCAAAGCGTCCACCTTATTCAGGAATTTCAACCAAAGCGTCTACCTTTTTCAGAGATTTCAGCCAAAGCGTCCACCTGATTCTGGAATTTCAACCAAAGCGTCTACCTTTTTCAGAGATTTCAACCAAAGCTTCCACCTTATTCAGGAATTTCAAGCAAAGCGTCTACCTTTTTCAGAGACTTCAACCAAAGCTTCCACCTTATTCAGGAATTTCAACCAAAGCGTCTACCTTTTCAGAGATTTCAACCAAAGCTTCCACCTTATTCAGGAATTTCAACCAAAGCGTCTACTTTTTCAGAGATTTCAACCAAAGCTTCCACCTTATTCAGGAATTTCAACCAAAGCGTCTACCTTTTTCAGAGATTTCAACCAAAGCTTCCACCTTATTCAGGAATTTCAACCAAAGCGTCTACCTTTTTCAGAGATTTCAACCAAAGCGTTCGCCTTATTTCAGGAATTTCAACCAAAGCGTTTACCTTTTTCAGAGATTTCAACCAAAGCTTCCACCTTATTCAGGAATTTCAACCAAAGCGTCTACCTTTTTCAGAGATTCAACCAAAGCTTCAGGAATGTCAACCAAAGCGTCTACCTTTTGCAGAGATTTCAACCAAAGCTTCCACCTTATTCAGGAATTTCAAGCAAAGCGTCTACCTTCTTCAGAGATTTCAACCAAAGCGTCCACCTTATTCAGGAATTTCAACCAAAGCGTCTACCTTTTTCAGAGATTTCAACCAAGGCTTCCACCTTTTTCAGAGATTTCAACCAAAGCGTCTACCTTTTTCAGAGATTTCAACCAAAGCTCCCACCTTATTCAGGAATTTCAACCAAAGCGTCTACCTTTTTCAGAGATTTCAACCAAAGCTTCCACCTTATTCAGGAATTTCAACCAAAGCGTCTACCTTTTTCAGAGATTTCAACCAAAGCTTCCACCTTATTCAGGAATTTCAACCAAAGCGTCTACCTTTTTCAGAGATTTCAACCAAAGCTTCCAACCAAAGCGTCTATTTTTCAGAGATTTCATTTTATTCAGACCTTTTTCAGAGATTTCAACCAAAGCTTCCACCTTATTCAGGAATTTCAACCAACGCGTCTACCTTTTTCAGAGATTTCAACCAAAGCTTCCACCATATTCAGGAATTTCAACCAAAGCGTCTACCTTTTTCAGAGATTTCAACCAAAGCTTCCACCTTATTCAGGAATTTCAACCAAAGCGTCTACCTTTTTCAGAGATTTCAGCCAAAGCTTCCACCTTATTCAGGAATTTCAACCAAAGCGTCTACCTTCTTCAGAGATTTCAACCAAAGCTTCCACCTTTTTCAGGAATTTCAAGCAAAGCGTCTACCTTCTTCAGAGATTTCAACCAAAGCTTCCACCTTATTCAGGAATTTCAACCAAAGCGTCTACCTTTTTCAGAGATTTCAATCAAAGCTTCCACCTTATTCAGGAATTTCAACCAAAGTGTCTACCTTTTCAGAGATTTCAACCAAAGCTTCCACCTTATTCAGGAATTTCAACCAAAGCGTCTACCTTTTTCAGAGATTTCAACCAAAGCGTCCACCTTATTCAGGAATTTCAACCAAAGCGTCTACCTTTTTCAGAGATTTCAACCAAAGCTTCCACCTTTTTGAGGAGTTTCAACTCGAGCTTCCACCTTTTTCAGGAATTTCAACCAAAACGTCCACCTTTTGCAGAAAATTTCAACCAAAGCTTCCACCGTTTTCAGACATTTAAACCAAAGCCTCCACCTTATTCAGGAAGTTTCAACTCAAGCTTCCACCTTTGTCAGCAGTTTCAACCAAAGCGTCTACTTTTTTCAGAGATTTCAACCAAAGCTTCCACCTTTTTCAACTCAAGCGTCCACCTGTTTCAGGAATTTCAACCAAAGCGTCCACCTTTTTCGGAGATTTCAACCAAAGCTTCCACCTTATTCAGGAGTTTCAACCAAAGCGTCTACCTGTTTCATTTCAACCAAAGCTTCCACCTTATTCAGGAATTTCAACCAAAGCGTCTACCTTTTTCAGCGATTTCAACCAAAGCTTCCACCTTATTCAGGAATTTCAACCAAAGCGTCTACCTTTTTCAGAGATTTCAACCAAAGCTTCCACCTTATTCAGGAATTTCAACCAAAGCGTCTACCTTTTGCAGGAAGTTTCAACCAAAGCTTCCACCTTATTCAGGAATTTCAACCCCAAAGCGTCTACCTTTTTCAGAGATTTCAACCAAGGCTTCCACCTTATTCAGGAATCTCAACCAAAGCGTCTACCTTTTTCAGAGACTTCAACCAAAGCTTCCACCTTATTCAGGAATTTCAACCAAAGCGTCTACCTTTTTCAACTCAAGCTTCCACCTTATTCAGGAATTTCAACCAAAGCGTCTACATTTTTCAGAGATTTCAACCAAAGTTTCCACCTTTTTCAGAGATTTCAACCAAAGCGTCTACCGTTTTCAGAGATTTCAACCAAAGCTTCCACCTTATTCAGGAATTTCAACCAAAGCGTTTACCTTTTTCAGAGATTTCAACCAAAGCTTCCACCTTATTCAGGAATTTCAACCAAAGCGTCCACCTGTTTCAGACATTTAAACCAAAGCCTCCACCTTATTCAGGAACTTCAACCAAAGCGTCCACCTGTTTCAGACATTTAAACCAAAGCCTCCACCTTTTTCAGGAAGTTTCAACTCAAGCTTCCACCTTTTTCAGGAATTTCAAGCAAAGCGTCTACCTTCTTCAGAGATTTCAACCAAAGCTTCCACCTTATTCAGGAAATTCAACCCAAGCGTCCACCTTTTTCAGGAATTTCAACCAAAGCATCTACCTTTTTCAGAGATTTAATCCAAAGCTTCCACCTCATTCAGAGATTTAAACCAAAGCTTTCACCTTTCTCAGGAATTTTCAACTCAAGCTTCCACCTTTTTCAGGAATTTTAACCAAAGCTTCCACCTTTTTCAGGAATTTCAACCAAAGCGTCTACCTTTTTCAGAGATTTCAACCAAAGCGTCCACCTTATTCAGGAATTTCAACCAAAGCGTCTACCTTTTTCAGAGATTTCAACCAAAGCTTCCACCTTTTTGAGGAATTGCAACCAAAGCGTTTACCTTGTTCAGAGATTTCAACCAAAGCGTCTACCTTTTTCAGAGATTTCAACCAAAGCTTCCACCTTATTCAGGAATTTCAACCAAAGCGTCTACCTTTTTCAGAGATTTCAACCAAAGCTTCCACCTTATTCAGGAATTTCAACCAAAGCGTCTACCTTTTGCAGGAAATGTCAACCAAATCTTCCACCTTATTCAGGAATTTCAACCAAAGCGTCTACCTTTTTCAGAGATTTCAACCAAAGCCTCCACCTTATTCAGGAATTTCAACCAAAGCGTCTACCTTTTTCAGAGATTTCAACCAAAGCCTCCACCTTTTTCAGAGATTTCAACCAAAGCGTCTACCTTTTTCAGAGATTTCAACCAAAGCGTCCACCTTATTCAGGAATTTCAACCAAAGCGTTTACCTTTTTCAGAGATTTCAACCAAAGCTTCCACCTTATTCAGGAATTTCAACCAAAGCGTCTACCTTTTTCCGAGATTTCAACCAAAGCTTCCACCTTATTCAGGAATTTCAACCAAAGCGTCTACCTTTTTCAGAGACTTCAACCAAAGCTTCCACCTTATTCAGGAATTTCAACCAAAGCGTCTACCTTCTTCAGAGATTTCAACCAAAGCTTCCACCTTATTCAGGAATTTCAACCAAAGCGTCTACTTTTTCAGAGATTTCAACCAAAGCTTCCACCTTATTCAGGAAATTCAACCAAAGCGTCTACCTTTTTCAGAGACTTGAACCAAAGCTTCCACCTTATTCAGGAATTTCAACCAAAGCGTCTACCTTTTTCGGAGATTTCAACCAAAGCTTCCACCTTATTCAGGAATTTCAACCAAAGCGTCTACATTTTTAAGAGTGTCAACCAAAGCGTCCACCTTTTTCAGGAATTTCAACCAAAGCGTCTACCTTTTTCAGAGATTTCAACCAAAACGTCCACCTTTTTCAGGAATTTTCAACTCAAGCTTCCACCTTTGTCAGGAATTTCAACCAAAGCGTCTACCTTTTGCAGAGATTTAAACCAAAGCCTCCACCTGTTTCAGGAATTTTCAACTCAAGCTTCCACCTTTTGCAGGAATCTCAACCAAAGAGTCTACCTTTTTCAGAGATTTCAACCAAAGCTTCCACCTTTTTCAGGAAATTTCAACTCAAGCGTCTACCTGTTTCAGAGATTTAAACCAAAGCGTCTACCTTTTTCAGGAATTTCCACCAAAGCTTCCACCTTTTTCAGGAATTTCAATCAAAGCTTCCACCTTTTTCAGACATTTAAACCAAAGCGTCTACCTTTTTCAGAGACTTCAACCAAAGCTTCCACCTTATTCAGGAATTTCAACCAAAGCGTCTACCTTTTTCAGAGACTTCAACCAAAGCTTCCACCTTATTCAGGAATTTCAACCAAAGCGTCTGCCTTTTTCAGAGATTTCAACCGAAGCTTCCACCTTTTTCAGGAACTTTCAACCAAGGCAAGGAATTTTCAACCAAAGCGCCAAGAATCAAACCACCTCTTTCAGGAATTTCAACACCCCCAAACTCGCCCACAGGTCGCGCACTCAGCGCTCAGAGACCCTGATTCGTTCGATCGAATCTCAACCAAAGCTTCCACCTTCTTAAGGAATACCGTGGCCTCCACGTTTTACACCCCACGTGCCTGCGTGCCGGGAAAGGATCGACCGCGCGAAGCCCTTCAGCTTACCCACCAGGTTTTGGGTGTCCTCGCGCGGACCAGTTTCAAGAACGGTTGAAACGTTGGAAAGATTCTAGGGGTTGATTCCTTTTCCATTCTTTTCCACCATCGTTCTACAAAAAAAACTGGGTGTCTGGAAGTTTTCTGGAAAGAAGGATCCCTGGAAAGAATGGGAAAGGTAGCCCTGGAAGGATGCGGACTGGAAGCTTCCCGCACGCATGATGGGAACCTCTAATCAATGAAGCCCTGGTTCACAGTCAGGCGGCCAAGCACGTCAAAATCCTGAGCCCAAGCATCAAACACTCAAGTCCGCGCTCGAGCATTGGAAGAGGAGACGCAACTACTGCCCCCAGCATCAACATGTTTCTTGGCCTCCCTAGACCTGAAATGTCCAAATGTGAAGCGGTCCAGCATAATGCGGCCGTTGGTCACTGGAATGGACATGAGCAACAAAGATCACCCAACAACAAAAAGCGCCTGGCCTCACCAGTCCCCATATCCTCGGCACGCAGTCCCCCAAGTCTTTGACAATTTCGTGAGTCTCCCCATGTTCCTTCCAAGTTGACTAAAAGCCATAGGAAATGTTTGTTACCTCATCAACCCACCACAAGGAGGGGGGGTCAATTTTAGGGAACAGGCACACCCCCTTACGAAGCACTTGTCATTTCGGGTAACTCCTTTGCTGGCAAACAATATTTGCGGGAAAAAGACAAGCAAACAAACTGAAAAAACACGCATGAACAAAGCCAAACAGCTTCAGTGATGTGTTCTGTTGCATTTCGCTCGAAATCTCCACCAGTGTGGCACGGTGCCCTTGCCACAGCCACCCGAGTCGCATGTTGTTTGTTGCATGTTGTTGACAGGTGCGTCATTTCCCCGCAAGTACACGATCTTGCCCAAGAAAGTTGCTGTATGTTCTGCAGGGCACTCCGAACTTAGCAACTGGAGAGCAAACATGATGGACCCAGCTTCTCACCCCATTTTTGGGACCGAAGCCTTGCCCCCCCCCCCCTCCAGCCAAACCCCTGCCATCCTCCTTGGGATCAAAGTCCCGGACCTCGGAGGCTCGAGGCCTTGCGACTCTGCGACTCTGGTGGCAGCGGGCTCGGATCATCTGGAATATGCCAACCCAAACCTGGCAACGTGCGGTCTGGTTGCTCCCCGTCCACTAAGACTTTGGCATATACTAGCATATGTGTCATTGGCGCCACAGAAGGTGGCCTGTTCTAAAGCCGGCGCCCTTGAGCATAACGTATAGTGAGCGTCTGCGTGTTCACATGTGCGCGCAAGTCTGTGCAGCTATCTCACACTGTCAAAATGCATGTATGCATAACGTTCTGTCACAATGCTTGAGTTTTGCAAATCTTCGAGTTGTAGCTGCAAGAGTCTCTCTGCAAGTCTGTGCGCACGATCTCCATGCTTGTCTGCGCAAGTCCTGCGTGCAAGTTTTGTGCGCTAGTGGTCCCTGCGCAGGTTCACTCGGCAAGCTCTTTGTGACGCAGTGCTGTATGAGTGTTACACCACAACAGAATCTCCACCGATCTCATCAAAAAGATACTGCTCCACCAGTTTGCTCAATCATCTCGCCTGAAATTGTTCCAGATGCCAATTCTGATCTCGAAAACCTGCCTTGCCCATATTCGAGTCGATGTGGTCCCAAAATTGGGGCTGTTGTCCAAGAACACAAAAAGGGCCCCACTGGATTCAGTCACCCGCGCCTGGGAACCAAGCCAATTGGGCGTGGTTCCTTTTTGTTTGTTGCTTTTGAAGGGAAGCCAAAAGGAAACCAACCATTTTCGGGGGTCTCCTGGTCCCCTTAAAAAACGACACACCCATTTTGTCATTTTGAGGTAAGATGTCCAAGACTTGCGACTGACCCCCCCAAAAAACCAGGTAGACCAACCCCGGCCGGCCTCAACTTCCGAGCATTCCCGACAACCGGGCCGCGGGCTAAAGCCTCGGACACGGCCTCCGGCATCTCTCGGATCCAGGCGGCCTGGGCGGCAGCTTCTTCCGTCCAGGCAGTGGCTCAAAAAAAATGAGTCGCAATCAAAACCCGGTACTAAAATTGCCGACCTAGAACCATGCTTCAAGAATTAAGAAGACGGATATCCGCTATTTATGGCAAGGGGATTGTCCCTTACTAGCCTTCGTCTGCCCGGGTTTTGATTGTGGCTCAAATGTAGAGTGGCACCTTGCGAAATGGAAGCTCACACTGAAACCTGCGTAACCCCAAGTCTTTTAATTTCGAGCCACACCCATATGAAGCCGTGGGAAGTCATGTTGGACACTTGGGGGGATGATTTCCCATAAAGCAAGAACTAAGGATGAATTCACCCATAAACTAGGACATACCCAGGGTTCATATATGGATGTATGCACTCAGCCTTTGATGCTGGGTCTTAATGGAAACGGACTCTACTGGTACTGGAATGGTCTCGTTGCCTCTCCAAAAGGGCAACCGAAAAGGGAGGAACTTCAAGCCTCCGTTGTGAGAGCAAATTCCTTGTCATTTCACTGCTCGGTTGGCCTCCTGGTGGTCCCTTTTCAACCCCAAGACATGTTCAGCATCATGATTGGCGATTTGGGTTGGGGTTTTGGAGGCTCAATGAAAACCAGGGGTTCATATTCCAAAGCACGTACCAACTCTGAGGAAACAGTCCAATATTCTCAAGCTATAAGCAAAGGAACGGTGCAAGCTTCTGTCAACTCGCTCTGCAATCCCCCCTGGGTGTTGAAAGATCCAGCTCCAACTTCTTTCTGCAGTGTGGGGGAGCGTTTGAATACGCCCCAGAAAAGTGCACAAATAAGCACTTCCCACATGATTAAGGTCCATAAATGGCGCCTTGTGAGACAAATGATCAGAAGATTTGCACTGGTTATGGTGAGCTCGTGGGGTAAAGCACGAAAAGGAACCTAGCGCTTTGAATGAGTTTCCGGTGATGGCAGCTTGAAATCACCTTTGCGCCAAAGAGCCGCCTCTCAACCACAAGTGGAATGCTCAGCGGCAACGGTCATACCAACATTCTAGGGGACGCTTCCATTTCCATTCTTTCCAGGGATGCTTCTTTCCAGAAAACCATCGGAACCCCAGGGAAAACATCTGTTTTTCAAAAAAAAAAAAAAAAAAACGGTTGAAAAGAATGGGGAATCAACCCCTAGAAACATCTTAACAGCACCTCGTACTTCCTCTGGTCCTCGCACTATTGGTCTGCTTGTACCAGACCGTCTTGGGCTACCAAATGCACTCCACTGCGCGTCCCGGCCGTCGAGGCGTCCAGGTTCCACTTCTGGATGAAGGCCTCCCACTTTGGGGGAGGGGCACTTACTCCGGAAAGATACGTACGCTTGTTCGTCTCAAGAAACGGCTGTTGGGCTTGTCTCAAAATGTGTTTGCGGGACAAAACGGTTGCGGAACCTGCCTCCCGTCCCCAGCTTCAAGCATCAAGGTCAAGCAAGACTTGAAGCTACAAAAGAGGGTCCAGACATCTCAACTCAGAGCCTCAAGCAGTGTGCTCCACTGCAGGCCTGCAAAAAGCTTCAAGACCTCGAAATCTGGAACCTGGAACTGCTTACATTCATGACAGCTCAACAGACCTAAGCCAGCTTTGTCCAGCATCCCTTTCCTTGGTTCGCCTCCAGTGTCACCCCACGCCGGATACCTTTGACAAAGGCATGCAGCTTGCCGGCCACGTCGTGGGTGCCCTCGCCGGGGGGGGGGGGAGGTTCCTGTGGATGGGCGCGAAATCCGTGAAGCACCGCGAAATGAAACCATGGGTGAAACCACATCTGCTTGCTGGTATTTTTATGTTGGGGAAGCGATTCATCCCAGGGTTTCTGAACGTTGCGAAATGGAGTTCGCAACCATCCGAGATATGGCACCCCTCAAAACGCATATGGGTGCAATACGTGTTCCCTAAACAAAACACATGGTGTCCTGATGAGAGCCGTCGCGAGTCCCGAAACCCTTTTGAGCTTTGCCAGGTTGACCGCGCTCTCACCGGACAGCGGATGGACATCCGAACGATGTGCTTACCCTAGACGTAAACCCAATCTTCACAACCCTTAGTAAGGTAGCTTTTTGCAGCCCCCTACTAAAAAAGGACAGAACAAAAAGGCAAAACAAAAAGCTTAGCAATGATGGACTTTCCCCTTAAGGGAACTCGATGAATCACGCCAACCCAACAAAAACGGAACCGCCGCAGGAGTCTGTGGGGTTCCAGTGACTTCATAGCACACATGCCGCGCATGTTGGTGCTCCATCTACCCTCTACAAGAACCAGGGGTTCAAATCCTCACACCACCAATCCAAGCCACAAATTAAGGGTAACCTGACATATGCAGCGCTTCGGACCAAAGAAGCAATAAGGAGTATGAGTCTGCGTGCATGCACGTACGAGTCTATGAATGAGTTTATGCATGTGAGAAGGGCACCATATGCCTTTACATATTTTTAAACAAACAAATAAAAAAACATGCTGATTGCTTTAGTACAGGACTGCAACAGGCGCTAACTCGCACGCCTGAACGCTCGCCCACACGCCCGCAAGCACCTATACCCACGCATGCACGCACACGCCTGCGTGGGTGAACGTATGCATATCTGCACTATGATTGCATGCACTTCCCTTTCCAATGTGCATCTACTTTGGCTCGAAGCCTTGGCTACCCGCTATGGTCGGAGCTTCCCTCGCCTCATCGGGGACCCTCTTTTTCCAACCACAAAGCTGTTTTTTCGACCTCCAGCTAACCTTTTGGTTGATGGGCTCAAAAACCAGGCTTGTAGTTAGAAAAGATGGCGCTTCCCTCGCCTCATGCGGCGCAAAGTCCCGAAGTACTACCTCCTGCACCTGCGGCTCCAGCGACCTGCCGAAGCGAAACACAAGATCCGCGTCGGGCGTCGGGACACCCCTCCGGCACCTAACGGAATTCGGGACTCATCCAGCCACCCCTCTCCATGCCGTTTCCCCCCCCCAACAAGTGCCCCAAGACCCCGTCCCAACGGGACCTGGAAGGACACCGCTTTTTGGACGGGTCGTACAAACTCCCAAAGTGCGTGAGGGCGCAGTCAATCACGCCAGGGGAAACGGGCGTGTGCTGTTAGGATACACTTTGTGGGCGGTATATCCCAAACAAGCTCAAATCTAAGCAGTTGCGTCTTTGTTTTCCAGTTGTTGGCAGGATCTGACTGAGAGGAGTTCTGCAAGTCGTTCGCCTAGATCGCTAGACTGCAATCACTCGATGGCAACGCGCCCTGCTTAAGCAGCTGCAAGGCTCGCCAAGAAACGGGTGCATCGGAGGACGCCCAGGCCCAGCGACATCGTTGCGACATGCGGGCGCCTCATCCAGATTAGTACGGAGTCAAAAACAAGTGCCACGCTTCGCGCCCTTTGTTGTTTTTCATGTTTTTTTGTTTGTGCTTTTTTCTGCGGCCTCAGAAGAAAACTGCCCCAAGCAAAAAGGCCCGGCGCTCTTCTGAGTTTGACTTTCCACATTCCGCCCCAAAGGGAAGCGCCATGTAGAATGCAAAGGTACAGCTCATTCGCCCCATCTCCCCGCCAGCCCCCCCGCCAGCCCCCCCGCCCCCCCAGGGGTTCGACAGTTCGACCTCAAGAAGTTCTGCGCGTCCCCGTCCAGCTGCCACCGCTCCGCGAAGCGGTGCAGCTCCATGGCATGAGGCCGGAAAAAAGAACTCGGAGATCACCGGGGAAGGCCTCAAAACACAGATCAAATAGCTATGGGTCAAAACCAAATCCAGAAACCCCCCAGTGAACATCCCAATCCCCACTAAAATATGCTCTGAAATGGGTGGTGCACCTACCCCAAACTGGTACCATTGGTGTTGACCCACGGCCAAATCGGGTTCTCAGCCTGGGGGATCGTCCCAAAACTGGTAAGGTTGAAGGAAGAGAGTCAGAAAGAGTGAGGGAGCAAATAGACCAGGAATCCGAAGAAATGGCGGCGAAGAGAAGTTTGAAAGGACATGGAGACCAAGATCCAACCTTTGGACACAAGGCCGCTTGTGTTCCAGGTTGTTCTTTCGTCCCACTTTTTCGGGGGGGCCGTGTGCTCCCCTCCAGCACAGGTGCCGGTCATTCCACGACACCCGTCCAAGCATTTGGGAGACATCCCCGAACTACGTGTGGCTTGCCGCTTGCCGCCATGTCGGTGTCTGAAGCTGACAGCCAAACTCGGACCCGACTGGTCAGGCATCATGGACAACTGGCTGTGGGTCAAACGCGTGTACCAAAATGGCACCTTGGTAAATGGAACCAAAGACTAAAACCTGCGTTTCCCTAGCTCTTTCATTCTGAGCCACACCCAATTGGCCGTGTCATTTTGTGTTCCCTTTTTGTGGAGATGTGCAAAGGAACAGAAAGCCACCTGCCCCTTTGGGTTCCGTTCTGAGACCACACCGAGAAGCCAGAATCACCTTTGCGGGATTACGGTCTTCAGAGGACCAACCTAAAGCCTTCAGTGGGAACCAAGTGTTGACCGCTTCCAAGGTCCGGATTTGCTGGAAACCCCCTCAAACAGCCGCTCGTACACGCGAATCGGGCTGTGGCCTGATTGACCCTCCAATTCCAGAAGCCCCGAATGGCAGAAATGCGACCTGTGGCATTTTCTCGGCTCATCCGTCCTCCGTCGCCATCGGCCAACAGCGGTGGGCGCACAGCCGGCATTCAAGCCACCGCAGCGGCAAAGGCGACGGGCGGAGAAATGTCATGTAAACGCAATGGGGCAGAGGAAATTCGCCGAATCAAACACGACCAGCACACGAACTAGTGCTGTCAAAGACATGGATTCAGACCTATACCATCCTTGCAGACTGTACAAAGCAGCTCCTCTCAGAGCTGGAGGGGGACTGGCACTGTACACCCCCGAGCACCCAGCAAGCCGCCCGTCTATCTTCAAACGTGCCGGAGCCGGGTTTCGGAGGTGGGAAATCCATCGAGAACCCATGACACTCCGTGCCAAAATTCATGCGAAACGCCTCGATCCAGGCAACCGATCCACATTCCGAAAAGCGCCACCAAGAAAGTCGCTGACTTTGGTGACAGACCTGAGTCTGCAGCTTACAGAATGGTGCAGTTGCATGCCAATCGCATTTGGTACGACTTTTGTAAACAACATGGTCAAGCAAACCTCCAACCCTCCAAATCCGCCAATCGGAACCAGGGACTCGGGATTGAGTGAAGCTTCCGGCAACAGCTTAGCGGACAGGGGGCCCTCAAATATGCCCCATGTCCGCTGGAAAACTCCAGTAAATCGGCATGAAACTCAAAAATATGTTATAAACAAAAGAAAGAAAGAAAGAAACAAAGAAAGAAAGAACAAACAAACAAACAAACGAAAGAATCAAAGGAATAAAGAAAGCCGGGAAGCAAGCAAGCAAGCAAGCAAGCAAGCAAGCAAGCAGGCAGGCAGGCAGGCAAGCAAGCAAGGAAGGAAGCAAGAAAGCAAGGAAGCAAGGAAGAAAGGAAGCAAACACGGAAGCAAGGAAGCAAGAAAGCAAGGAAGAAAGGAAGCAAGCAAGAAAGCCAGCAAGGAAGCAAGGAAGCAAGGAAGCAAGCAAGAAAGCCAGCAAGGAAGCAAGGAAGCAAAGGAAGCAAGGAAGCAAGGAAGAAAGGAAGCAAACACGGAAGCAAGGAAGCAAGAAAGCAAGGAAGAAAGGAAGCAAGCAAGAAAGCCAGCAAGGAAGCAAGGAAGCAAGGAAGCAAGCAAGAAAGCCAGCAAGGAAGCAAGGAAGCAAAGGAAGCAAGGAAGCAAGGAAGAAAGGAAGCAAACACGGAAGCAAGGAAGCAAGAAAGCAAGGAAGAAAGGAAGCAAGCAAGAAAGCCAGCAAGGAAGCAAGGAAGCAAGGAAGCAAGCAAGAAAGCCAGCAAGGAAGCAAGGAAGCAAGGAAGAAAGAAAGCAAGCAAGGAAGCAAGGAAGCAAGGAAGCAAGGAAGCAAGCAAGGAAGCAAGGAAGAAAGGAAGAAAGCAAGGAAGCAAGGAAGCAAGGAAGCAAGGAAGCAAGGAAGCCAGGAAGCAAGGAAGAAAGGAATGGAAACTCCAAGAAGGTTTGTTTTGACACAGTTTGAGAACTGCCAACAGTGGTGCCAGCTTCCGAACGAACGCCAGGCAGCTTGAAGACGCTGCCCACTGAGATTTCCTTCTCGCCCTGGCATCAGTCAAGGTTTTGGTTGGGAAGGGGGCTTCTGGGTGGTCCGTTTTGCTGTTGTGAGACAAGTCTGCGATTCTTGAATACTTAACACATTTGTCAAAAGCATCACCCATTTCCTATGCGTCTTCGGGAGAAAAAGTGATATCCCTTACCGAAAGGGATGCGCTATTGGGCTGGCCACCTTATCCCGCCCTGTCCTCCCCCCCTTCCCCCCGAGCTATGTGCTCTGTGCAAATTGGCCGGCGAAAACTGGCTCTTCCCACCCGGCACTTTCCACCCGGCACAAGACACTGCCAAGAAGGAAACAGGTGTCCAGACCAATCAATTGTAGGAGGGTATGAACCTGAATTGGGGATGCTCTGGTCGTCATTCGCATTGGCACTTCTCTCCGAAGCATCGTCCCCCCCCCCCCGCCTGCGGGAAGTATCCCGCCAGCTCCAGGCGTCCGTCGAGGCCTTGCACCACGACGGCGCCGCCCTTCAACTCCAACACGGTGCCCGGAAGCTCCGACCCGTCTGGCTCCGCCGGAAGCAGCACCACCGAGGTCACACGCCACCTGAAAAAATTAAGGCCCAAATCCCCATAGTGGGGAGTTAGTCTCTTTTAAGACCCCCCAAAAATGTTGGTTGTCCTTTTCTACTCTCACCAAACCAACCAAAATTGTCTAGTTTCACCAAACCAACCAAAAAAGACTCCTCTAACAAAGACACACCCATATGGTCGTCTTTGAGGAATGTCTCAAAAACAAATATTGCTCAGGCGCAGCTCTCCCTCGTAGTCCGTGAAGAGGCCGCGGTTGTCGCAGAAGGCCCGCCCGGCGCGCTCCAGGTCTGTCGCGGTGTCCTCCTGCCACTCGATACGCACGCGGCTCAGCACACCGAAGTTGGACTTCTGCGCCACACCTCGGCTGAAAACAAAACGCCTTGGAAGAACCGAAATGTTGTTCCCTACGTCATCCCCTCAAATAAGGGGAACACCAAACAGCCCAACCCCAAAGTGCACCTTCACCGTACAAACCTGAACTGCGCACAGTGGCTTGCCGGTGCACCACCATTCTTCCTCATGTGATCCACCTTTCTGGGAGAAACCAAGGCCCCATGTGCCATGACCCAACCCCAGGAAAAGTTCCTTCAGTGAACCCGTGAGAAGGGAGGCAACTCTGACATGGGAAACCTTTTGGGGCAAAGTAAAACAGACTGTAGCTACACAACCAACTTCGGTCTTGGCCGGCTTTGGAGTGAAATTTAACATCCGCAAGATGACCTGGAAGAAGAGAAAGAGAGAGCGAGAGAGACAGACAGACAGACAGACAGACAGACAAACAGACAGACAGACAGACAGACAGACAGACAGACAGACAGAGAGAGAGAGAGAGAGAAAGAGAGAGAAAGAAAGAAAGAAAGAAAGAAAGAAAGAAAGAAAGAAAGAAAGAAAGAAAGAAAGAAAAGAAAGAACAGAATAAAAAAAAGAGAAGATAAGAAAAGAAAAGAGAAGAAAAGAAAAGAGAAGAAAAGAAAAGAAAATAGAAGAAAAGAAAATAGAAGAAAAGAAGAAAAAAAAGAAACAACATAGTTATTTTTAAAAAAGAACAAAAGAAAAAGAAAGAGCGAAAGAAACAAAGAAAGAAAGAAAACAAAGAAACGAAAAGAAGAAAATAAATAAACGGGGAAAAAAACATAGAATAAAAAATGAAAATAACAATAATGAGAGACAGAGAGAGAGAGAAAGAAACAAGAAAGAACGAATGAAAAAGAGAAAGGAAGAAAGAAAGAAAAGAAAATAAAAAGAAAAGAAAAGTAAAAGAAGGAAACAACATGAGAAAAAATCGAGAGAAAAAAAAAAGAAAAATCAAGAAAGGAAGAACAAAAAACGAAACAACGAAAGAACGAAAGAACGAAAGAACAAAAGAACGAAAGAACGAAAGGACGAAAGGACGAAAGAAAGAAAGAAAGAAAGAAAGAAAGAAAGAAAGAAAGACAAAGAGAAAGGAAGAAACGAGGCTGCGGTGAGAAAAGCAAAAGAAAGCCAGAACGCCATCTACGAGCACTGTCTCCGTCTTCACCCCAAAGGCGTGCGGCACGTCCTGCGGAAGATCTGTCTCTGGGGTCCCCCCCATGGGTGGGGTCCCCCCCATGGGTGGGTGTCTAGCGGCTCTCCTTTGAAAAAACTTGTTTGGGAAAACTTTGAAACATATGATCCATCTTCGCCATTTGGCATATTGTTCTCCAAGTCCGTTGACACTTGGAACCTGAATGAGTCTACCAAAAACTGGTCTTGCATGGGCCTGTCCCCGCCTCGGTTTCTGGCTCTCGTTTTCCAGCATCTCCGGTTCCACCGGATGCTTTGGCCATGGCCTCCATCACCAAATTCGGAAGTAATCCAGCGACCTCCTACGAGGCAAGCGCGAAAGGTGAATGTTGGGCGCTCGGAACGCGTGCGGATGTCTCTGTGCGCGTGCGTGCGTGCGTGCGTGCGCGCGAGCGTGCGTGCGTGCGTGCGCGCGCGCGCGCGCGTGCGTGCGTGCGTGCGTGCGTTTGTGCATGCGTGCCTGCGTGCCTGCGCGCGGGCGTGAGAGTGTGGGTGCGCGTCTGCGTGGTTGTGTGAGTGTGTGTGCGTGCGTGCGCGTGGGTGCACGGGTGCGTAGGTGAATGTGTGTCTCTGTGTGTTTGTGTGTTTGTACGTGTTTGTGTCCGTGTGTGTTTTTGTGCTTGTTTGAAAGTGTTGTGCGTGTAATACCGTTTGTGTGTGTGTGTGTGTTTTTGTTGTTCTGTTTTTTTTGCTCTTTTTTGGGGTTATCTTTTTTTTTTTTTTCGGGGGGGGGGTTTGTGGGATTGCATGCTTGTGTGTTTGTGTGTTTGTGTGTGTGTGTGTTTGTGTGTTTGTCTGTCTATGTGGGGTGTGTGTGTGTGTGTGTGTTTTTGTGTGTTTGTATGTGGGTATATATGCTTGTGCCTATGTTTGTGTGTTTGCGTGTTTTGTGTGGTATGTTTTGTGTGTATGACTTTTTGTGTTTGTGTGTGTGTCCGTGTGTGTTTGTGAGTGTTTGTGTGTGTGCTTGTGTTGTTGTACGGTTGTGTTTGTGTGTGTGTCT